TTCTGTTAAGACACTTGAGAGGACAGATGCTCGAGCTTCTGGGAAAGGGCCTCCTCCTTGAGGAAATAAGATGGAGGAGAAGACACCCCTCCCCCGATGCTGCCACCTCCCTGCTTCTCCCTTTGGACACTGACAGCTGTGGATGAAACTGGAAATTCACAACCAAAAAATGCCTCCATCTTGATGTATTCTAAATCAAACAACCCACATCGAATTCACAAGTTAAAGAAGCAATCACAATGGAGCTATGACTATGTGTGTAAAATACACATAAAAATGATAATAAATCAAATTTAGTGGAAAAAGTAAAAAAAAAAATCAACCCTCTTTAGAGGAAAAAAACAGAATCCAAAGTCCTCACAAAAAATTACAGACTAACTCCAACACGTGATAAATACATACACACACATGTGCAGAGTCAGGGAAAAATGGTAAAGAGTCAAGAGGTAAAATATTCAATAGAAGCAGATAAGCGAGAAATCAAATACCATTTTAGTGGGTAAAGACTTCAAAATGACTGTGACTGATATGGACACATGGACAAACAAGTGTGAGCAAAATGTACTCAAATAAGCATTACTGAACCTCAAGCTAAACATCTAAAATTTTTAAAACATGCATATTGAGTTAATTTTAAAGTTAAAGTAGAAGATAGAATTTGTAAACTTGAAAAGAATTCAGAATATAATGCTTGGGCTCAGTTTTAGAGCTGAGAAAGAGTGGAAACAACAAAACAGAGAAATATGAGTGAAGATTTGAATGAAGGAACAAAACAGAAGCAATATTGAAAAGTAGTCACCCAGAACTTTCCAGACGATAAGAGACACTGACTTACAGCTTGCAAAAACTTAGCAGACTCAAGGCGCAATGCAGAGAAAACTACAGTTAATCACGTCATTGTCTGATTGTTTAAAACCAAAGATAGAAGGAAACATTAAAAGCGCTGGGGATGGGGCATCCGTTAACCTCGGGGGAAGGGGACAGTGACTGCCTGAAAATATTGCTCAAAATTAAAGGGAAATAAAGACTTTTTTGACAAATAAAAGCTGAGAGCATTTATTTCCATCAGATTTCACACTATGGAAAATAGGAAAGGAGCTTCTTCGGGAGCAAAGAATATGATTCAAGAAAAAAGCAGAGAAGTGGGGCAAAGAAAGATCATTGAAAAAGAAGAATGTAACTGTAAAATATATTATCTATTTAAAACAAAAATAATAGCAATGTCTTAGGGGCATGTAACATATATGGAAATAAAATACATGACAGTAAATAAAAAAGCAGGGGTGTAGAGTCGAGTCAGATTGCTCTTGGGTATTTCATTTCGGGGCTGTATAAAGGTGCTAACTTAAGGGAAGTGGTGATAGGTTAACTACCCATTTTTTAAAATTTTTGAGATGACTACAGAGTGATAATAAACATGAAACAAAAAATCTAATAGAGCAGATAAAATAATATAGTATTTAATCAAAAGGAGCAAGTTTAGTAGTATATGTAAAAATTGTAATTTTTAAGTAGCATTTGTCTTCAGACTATGAGGATGATTTGATATTAAAACATCTATCAACCTAATTTGCACAGATTAATATATTTAAAGAGAAAAAAACATGTAATCTCATTAGAGGTAAAATTATATAAAATTCAATACTCATTCAAGAAAAAGTCTTGGAGAACCAGGAAGACATCGCTATTGCAATAAAGTCACCCACCAGAGACTGCATACTCCTTAATAATGGGAGATTAGAAGCATTTTTATTAAATTAGGAAGAAATCAAGATTGTCCACATCACCTCCTTCTATTTAACATTTTTTAAAACCCCCAATTCAGAGACATTATATGTCAAAAAAGAAAAAGAAATACAATGAGTAGGCATTAGTAAGGATGAGACACTATTTTCCTTGTTTGTAGAAGGCATGATTATCTATACTGAATATTCCAGAAAATCAGCAAACTCTTGGGCACCATGAAACAATTCATTAGAATTTCAGGATAAAGAACAATATAATAACAGCAACCACAACAGGGTAGCCACACCCACTGCCTCCAACCACACACGCAAGTCCGCAAAGGTGCACCTTCTACAACAGCAACAAAAACTCTAGGAATAAATCTAGGAAAATATGACTAAGCACTTTCTGGGAGAAGGTGACATTTGTTGAAGCTTTTATATATAACCTACTCAGAAGTCCCTCACCTCAAGCGTGTGAGCTCTGTGTGAAGGCACGCTACTGGAGACGCCACTGACAGAGAACGCGATGCCAAGCGAGGAGAGGTCTCTGCTGTTTGCGACGCAGGGGGACGAGGCGGCGGGTCCGCAGTCTGGGCCACGTGTCGGCTCGCTCTCTGTTCCTGTGAAACCCAGGTCTCTTTCTGTCTCAGGTTTCTCGTCTCGAAATGGTGGTGCCTTCACCAGTGGGAGCACAGCACAGTCACACACAGAGCACACTGGCTCTGACACGGGCCCCACAGGACGTTCCAGAGATGTGAGCTGCTCGCTCCCCGCCAGGCCCGGATTTGCTGTCAGTCCCAGCCAGGTTTTCCACCTTGACACTGAAGGCTCTAAACTTCAGCCGGAACATAGCAACAAGCGTCAATAAGAAAATGCTTCAAAATAAGAGTGACAGGTGGGTCTCTGTCGTTCACGATATGAGATGACCTTGTCCACTGACCAGGACTCACCCTCGGGCTGATGATCAGGAGAATAGAATGACGCTCCCCTCCTCTGGTTCTGGACTTGCTTTTTGGCCAAAAATGCAGGAAACAGAAAAAAATGAGGAGGGAAGCATCTTTCGGAAAATAACTTTCCAAAATGAGTATTTGAAAAAAATGACAGAAACCCAAATTATACCCTTTGAAAAATACTCTTCGAGTAGATTAAAGAAATACTGTGCAGAATGAAAACAATTTTTTTCTCTCTCTGACCTGAGAAATGAGACATTTTAAGCACACTAGGCACAGGAAAATCTCCATTGCAATGGAAGTTTATGACATTAAAAACATCCTAAATGGAGAAAAAAATCCATTTTTTCAAGTGGATCTGTAATCTATGTGTTGGGTAATTCTTAAAGCACAATTTCTACCAAAAAAATTCAATGAAAAAAAAGACAAGTTTGAAAATACAAGGTAAGAAACAAAGATACCCAGTAAAGTTAGGAAATGATTTTCCAACATCACTGCATCCAGACAAGATGCACGTTAAAGCTTTGCCTGGTCCCTCAGGATCCAGCGGGCAGTGCTGAGTCTTGTCCCAGATGCTCTGGGCC